CATCACGATTGAAGAGAAAATCTAAAGAAATCAAAATGCTCCTTGGAAATTAGTCGAAAAATGCCAAAATTGAAAATCAAAAGAAAAAAAAACAGGGAGATAAAGAGAGCACCAGAAGTAGGTGGGGTTTGGCAATGGCCCCAATGTGGCTCTGTCTTTACTTCGATTTTCTTGATTTTACTTTTTTTGATTTTTTGTGTCTTTTTTTATATTCTACATATTTTAAAAAAATAGTTAGTACCACAAAAAATTTCAAATTGGTATACTTATATCAAATTCACTCCATATTAATTTTTTAACCACCAAAAGCCCCAAATTGGTACATCTGTGACAAATTTACCTTCCGTTAGTTTCCGTTAAATTTTACAGTCAAATTGCTGAGTTTGAGAACACGTAACAGTTGACGGGTGTACCACTTGAGGTTTTTGATGGTCAAAAAATTAGTTTGAGGTAAATTTGGTATAAGTGTACCAGTTAGGAGTTTTTGGTGGTCAAAAATTAGTTTGAAGTAAATTTATCACAAATATACTAATTTGAGGTTTTTCGTGATATTAACAAAAAAAAAATTGGTCTATTGGCACCACATCAATAGAACACATTCTTAAAAATTATTAAAATGACACGTCGGATTATAGCGTGTCAAATCGACAAGTTTGCCTGTGGTTGTCTGTATTACTTTTTTTTTTTTTGGTTGAAATTGTCTGTCTGACTTGACTGCACCGGATTTGAAGGGTTGAAAACTTGATTGTATTTTTTCAAACATTTAGAAATTGATTGAACATTGGGTCAAGCGAGTAGAAATATTAATTTGATTCTTTCTTTTGAAAATAATAAAATTTGACAAATCTTATATATTACGTAACATTCCAATTACCAATACCCAAAAAGGAAAGGAAGAAAGAAAGAAAGAAACAAATAAGTAACCCACCATAAAATCTCATTCTATGGTGAAAGAAGTGAAGGTATTCGCTTAAATTCCTACTAGTCAAGTTAAAATATTTATAGAAAAGGGTAAAAGAGGAAAAGAAAAAAGCTAACTAATTTCAGCGTAGATTTAATAATTTTACTAATTAAAGTTGTCATATATTGAACAACTGTTGCCCAATCGAAGGAATTTATTCTCCTTTAATTCAATGTCATAACGGGAAATACAAAATAATAGTAGGAAAAATCTTTGTGCAAAACAATTACGAATAATCATGTAGTTAATAAGGAATCTATCAATAGGAAAAATACATTTACGAAATTAAAGTGAAATTACAAAATTACCACCGTTGCCACTATTTAATTTTGATCATCGTACTTCATCTTGCTACAGATTTGGTCTCCAAGCTAATCTTCAATCAGGATGTCCGGGACAAAGTCTATGATTCATCCAAATGTCGTCGGAAAACACCGATTGAGCACTAAGAGTTGGAGATTAACACATTGTGCTAACGCGAAACGAGAAAATTGAGAGAAGAAATTACTAAAAGCAGTCTTTATACTATTGTCCGTGTTCAATTTTGCTCTCCATACTTTATTTTGGGATAGATCTACAAAAATGTCGGGGGAAATTATTTAACCAATCCTAAACGTATGTCAGTTCAATAATAAATTTTCCAATTTTGCCAATTTAATCCCAAATCTTTGTATCAAATTTCAATGTAATCATTTCGACCAATACTCGTTGAAAATTGCTGACCGATGATGATTAAACCGTCTTGCCAGCTATCCGGAAGGATTCCATTGGAATTTTGTGCAAAGGTTTAGGACTAAATTGACAAAATTGAAAAGTTTAGAACTAAATTGACATCCGTACAATATGTTTTATGACTAATTGGGTAATTTTTCGAAAATGTGCATAGTTTTTTTATTAAGCACTAGAGATCAATATATAGTGTCACAAGGAATAAAACAATAGGAAAATAGATGAACTAATATTCCGTTTGTTTCGTAAAAAATAAATTATTTAAGAATATTTTCCTTAAAAATAATCGATTGTATCTCTTACAAAAACGAATGAACAAAAATATATCATCGTTCACAAAAATGTTTAGACAAAAGTTGTTGATTATGAAAACATTTTTTACAAGCTAATTATTTTAAGCGTTGCAAAATATTAATTTTAGGAAAATATTTTTTAAATTATTTATTTTTCGTCAAATAAACGAAGCGTATGTCTTGTCTTTAAACAATTCAGCAAGGTGCACATGAACCGGATGCCCCAAAAGCAATCCTCAAGTGTTGCCTATTTAGGGAGAACTACCATTAGATCATCAAATTTTTACATCGACAATGCGGGGCTGTATGTTAATCTTGAGCGCGAAGTCCATATAGATATTTTTTGGAATTGGCCTAGAAAAATTACGAATTTCATTGTAAAATCATGACCGAAGATTACAACTAATAAAAACATGACTAATAGTAATAATTAATCATTTTAATTGAGAAAATTAGATTATATACAATAGATTGTAATTAATTGATAATACGACTAATTGAATAACGAACACATCTACACATTATACTCATTAGCAATTCAATTTCCTTGCACATATTTTAACATACTAAAATTGTGAAAGTACACACAGCCCTCCTCTACCTTCGGCTAGACATGGCCACGTGCCGGTTTCGGGTTGGAATCGGCCCGGGTCAAACCCCGGACCGGCCCGTTGACCAGGCCCGCAGTTCGGAACCGGAACCGGCCCAGTTCCAATTCCAAAAAAAAAAAAACTACAGCAGCGTGTTCTTGTATTTGATAATTCATTATTTTTTTATTTCATAATTTATTCTTTTAATTTTTACCGGCCGGTTCTGAACCGGCCCGGAACCGCCGGTTCCGGTTCATACATGGCCATGAGCCTGAACCGGCCGGTTTCGAACCGTGGCCATATCTACCTTCGGCAGTAGTACATTTTTGTACCCGAACTTTCAACCGTTATGCAATTCTCATGAACTTTCATTTCATTACAGCGGTTGATTCTTAGTATTTTTTTCCTGTTAACATATATAACGAACTTGAGTTTTAAGGGTTAAAGTATATTTTCGTTTAGTTTTTGAAGAAAATTCTTTCTTTTACCCTTAATTGCTATAATAAGTAGAAAAATATACATAAAAGGTAGAAAGTTAATTACCTCAAATTTAAACAATAGAAATTTGATAAATATAGCCACTTTAATAGAACTCAATAAGATATTTTGTGAAAAAAATGAACACAAATTAAATAAAAAGGGAAAAGGCCTCAACCAAAAAAGTTCAGATGACAAGAAATAAATACTTGTTAGGGATATTTAAAGGGTTAATTAACGTCCTCAACTCATAAAAGGATATATAAAATTATAAACAATTATAAAAGGAGATTTTTTCTTCAACTCATAAAAGAAAAGGATTAACCAATAAATCCAAGATGATATTTTTAACAATTTGATTTTTTTCATTTATTAACCATTTAAAAATACATAATCAGTATCCAACTTTTGCAAGAAGCATTTTTATAATTTACTTAATTGTATATCTTTTTTTCTCGAAATACCTTATTAGTTCTATTGATATATTCATCAAATTCTAGCAATTTTCATTTTTCAATAAATATGTTCATCGATCTTTTATTTTTCTATTCTAGAAGAAAAAATTCTCTATTTTTATTTTTTTATAGAAAAAAGGACAAAACAGAGATTTTCTTAAAAATAATGAGATGAAAATAAAATTTTATTTATTAAAAGTTACGTGCACGTACCAATGGAAAATATATCAAATGATTAATGGTTGTAATAAATAATATTCAAGAGTGTAATGAAAGTTTAAAGGTAAACGTGCACCACTCTCAAATTTCGGTAGAGTATATATAAGTAATGAAAGTAGAACGTAAGTCAAATTTAGTAGAAAATTTTCAGTCAATTACATTTCGACAACATTTTCTTTCACAACCAGGGGTGTGCAAAATGGACAGCCCAGACCGGACCGGACCGGACCGGCCGGTTTGGTCCGGTTCTCGGGAATATCGATCTAGTTCCCAGTTCTCGATTTCTAAAAGTGAAACCGGTATCCAGGCTGTCTGGTTCCTAGTTCCAAGGGGGAACTGAACCGGATAGGACCGATTGGATCGGACCGACTATATATATTTTGATTTTTTAGAAAAAAATTAGTAAAATGTGAACTAAACCCTAAGTAAACTTCATTGACATAAATTCATTGACAAAAATTAATAAAATGTGAACTAAACCCAAAGTTAACTTCATTGACAAAAATTTAGTAAAATGTGAACTAAAACCCTAAGTATTTGATCAAAAACAATAAATCTTAAGTGATTGGTTCTATTGGACCAGAACCGGAACCATCAGTCCGATCCATTTCCCGGTCCTAGGACCCGGTCCGATCCCCAGTTCTCAATTTTGGGAACCGGGAACCGATATCCTCTATTCATAACCAAGCACAAGATTCTATTACATTCCCACAAATTACTAAACAAAATTTCAAAAAATATTACCCTATTCATCGTCATTCCACTAATTCTCTCAATTTATCAGAGAAAGTTATTAAAACTCATCACTTCATATCTTTTTTCATTCCATTCTTTGAATTCGTCTCATCCCGTCGAACCGAGAGGATCCCGAAATTTTGTCGGGTCGGTTCGAGATTACACCCCGGAGTCTCCATATACCCAATCTCGGGAATAGTAGTGTCTCAAACAAATCGCAAAAAATAGAATTTCGCGAAAAGATGGCAGGAAAAACAGCGCGCAAAAAGACAAGCACCGCCGAGACCGGCTCGCCCCGACAACTGTAGATCGGGCGCGGCCTCGCCTTCACACGTGGACGGTGGGGATTGCGAGCGCGACCGCCAGCAGCAACAGCAGCAGCAGCAGCAGCCAAAATGAGGAGAGGACTTGGGGATGAGGTTTTCCCGGCTAACCATGGTTAAGCCACCCTGATTCTTTAAAGCTGGGAACCTCTTAACCATGGTTAACTCCCTGGCCGCTTCCCATTTTCCAGTTTTCTTCCTCTTACAAACAAAAAGCAAAAGAGCTTTTTGACAATCCATGAATCGAATCTCTCTCCTCTCCCTTTCTCTTTCTCTCTCTACGGTTTGTCTTCTTCCTCCTCCGCCAGCATCGCCGCCGCCGCCGCCGTCGGAGACCAGCGTTCCTCCGGTCGAGGTTCGGTCATTGGCCCTCCCCTCTGGAGCTCCGCCATTTTCGCTCCCTCTCGGGTGAGCTCGAGCTGAATGCGAGTGCCGGAAGTCGCCTCGGAGCTCTTTCTTTGGATGATCCTTGCGCCGGGAAGTGCTGTTTGTCTTGTTGTTCTTCGGCATTTTTCGATGGTGTTGTCGGAGCTTTAGGACCGAGTCAAGCGTCCAAGACCCATCTTCGGTTCAGCTCAATATAGTCGAAGAACGCGGGGATTGGGTTTGGCGAGCTCGCGAGGAGTAGCCATTGACGGTGGAGATGCCAAATCCGTCTTCGCAGGAGGTTTCTTCCCGCGACCCAGCGGCGCCGCCGGCAGAACAGCCGGCGAAGAAGAAGCGTAATCTTCCGGGGATGCCAGGTATGATTGGTCCAAGCTAAGCTGCGGCATGATTCGCACAAAAACCCTAAATTGCCGCTCTGAAATTTCTCTCTCTCTCTCTCTCTCTCTCTCTCTCTGGCAGATCCTGAGGCGGAGGTGATAGCTCTGTCGCCGAAGACGCTGATGGCGACGAATCGGTTCGTGTGCGAGATCTGCAACAAGGGGTTCCAGCGGGACCAGAACCTGCAGCTCCACCGGCGGGGCCACAACCTGCCTTGGAGGCTTCGCCAGCGGGACGCCAATGCGGAACCGCCGCGGAAGAAGGTGTACGTGTGCCCTGAGCCGGCCTGCGTCCACCACAGCCCCGCCAGGGCCCTCGGCGACCTCACCGGGATCAAGAAGCACTTCTGCCGGAAGCACGGCGAGAAGAAGTGGAAGTGCGAGCGGTGCGCCAAGAAGTACGCCGTCCAGTCCGACTGGAAGGCCCACATGAGGACCTGCGGCACCCGCGAGTACAAGTGCGACTGCGGGATGCTGTTCTCTCGGTATTACCTTGTTGGTTCTCCAGAACGAAGACGGGTCGATGACTCGATACGAGCTTCAAGAGTTTTCATCTTCCTGTTTTCTGGTTTGCAGGAGGGATAGTTTCGTGACGCACAGAGCCTTCTGCGACGCATTGGCGGAGGAGAGCTCGAGAGCCCAGAATAACAACAATCCGGCGCAAGACGAGCAGAATGCGAGGAGCTCCGGGTCTGCCGCCGCCGCCGCCGCCGCCGCCGCCGCCTCGTCGCCTCCGCCCCCGCCGCTTACGCCGTCGACCACGGTGGTGTCTCCGGTCCTCTCCCTTCAAAGTTCAGGTGAAATGCTTTATCTTTTATCCGAAATAGCCAGGCTTGGCGTGCAAGATATGCGTGTAGTTTAGCGGGGGGTCAAAGGGGAAATGTTTAAATAATGTGGCGTATCATGGTTTTACTCAGATGTCGTGGTCTAAGATAGACGCTAATGAGCCCCCATTTGCTTAGCTCGACGATTCGGTCGGAGCGTTTTATTATAAAGATTCATGCTTTGTCCGTTCTTGAGGTCGCGCTCTCTTTGTCCGCTGCGAGGCCGGTAACACAGGCGCGGAGGAGACAGACAGACTGTTGCTAGGGGAGAGAGAGAGAGTGAGATTTTTAATGGGTTTGGATCGGTGGTTCTTGCTCAGTTGACCATGGAGATTGAGAGAATCCATTGGGCAAGCAAAAGGGAAAAGGGGGTGGGTGATTGTTCATTATGGTGGGATGAGAAAGGACGCCATTATTGCTGCTCCTTTAAAGCTTTGAGAATGTGGGAAAAGGCTCCTGTGAAGTTCGTTCCAGCTAGGACTCGGGGAAAGCTTTTGCGATCCCAAAAGGGTCTCTCTTTCTTCACCGTTCTCTTTTCGCACTCTCGTTTTGGGATCGCGCGATTATCTTTGCTGGATCTGCTTTTCGCTTTCCATGTCCCCTTTTTTAAAATTCGTGCTTTTCTCTTCTTTCGTGGGTTGCAGATTTGCCTGAAAATGCAATTGAGCTTGTGCCGTCTGCTCCTGCTCGGGCGTCGTCGTCTTCTCTGGCTGCCGCCACCATCGTCGCAGCTGCCACTGCCACCGCTACTGCTGGCCCGGACAACAGTGCCGTCACCTGCAGCAACACTGCCTTCACCTGCATATTTCCAGCATCGGTTCCGCCACGGCCACAGGCCTTGCCTTCTTCGCTCTCCAATGTGGTCTGCACGGTGGTGCCCCCGTCGCCCTCTGCTACCGAACCGGCCTCGCTTTCTCTCTTCCTCTCCAGCACTGCCTCGTCCCTTTTCTCGAGGCCCGATCAGAACCAGCAGCGCCTCTACGCCCTGCCTTCGCAGCCCTCCCCAGCCATGTCTGCCACGGCCTTGCTTCAAAAGGCCGCTCAAATGGGCGCAGCAGCCACCAACGCGTCGCTACTTCGTGGGCTTGGCTTAGCCATTTCCTCACCTCCTGCATCTTCTAGCCACGAGGCAACTCCGGTGACCGCTGGCGATGGCTCCACCCGGTGGAGCAGCCAGGGGAAGGTGGAGAGCTCCTTGGAAGCGGCCGGGCTGGGGCTGGGCCTTCCGTCTCAGCCAGCGCTGTTCGGCAACAGGCCCATGACAGTGGATTTTCTGGGACTGGGAATGGGTCCTGCCGGGGGCCGCGCAGGCGGGCTATCAGCTCTGCTCACTTCGATTGACAGCGGGCTGTCGTTGGACCGTGGATTCAGCAGCGGTGGAGTGCCTGGTGTTTTGTATGGCGGAGGAGGAGGAGGAGGAGGAGGAGGGAGAGGGCAGGTGGATGAATTCAGTCGAGGTTCTTGGGAGGAGTTTCCGGAGTCGAAGCCCGATAAGCCAAAGGGGCCTAACGGGCCTCCTCACTATCTCTAGTGACTGTCCAAGTGAACTCCCCGGGCACTTTTTGGTCCTGGCCTCTTGGGGGAGTTCACTATCAAAGCTTGGGACTGCTTTTGTGTAATAACAACAGTATAGGTGTGATTTATTGTACGAATGTATATCGTTCAATTTATCCAGGTGTTATGTTTTTTTGCTCTTTTTTAGCCAATCTAATATAGTTCTTGCTTCTTAATAACCCTACATGGGTTCTAGTCCTCTTTCAAATCCCGGCGACTCAAATGCATTTTGTATTTTGAATCCACGCACCCATTTTTGACCAGACAGGAAGCTTCACTTTAGCTTCCCTAGAAATAAATTTACCACATTTCCTGGAGCCAACAGCCACAAACCCAATAATCTAATGCAAGCGCTTCATTTAGTAGTTGCGATAGGAACGAGGGGCTTCTATCTTATCTATGGCAATACATAAGCAAGCAATGAGGGTGCGTGTGGTTGAAGGTTATAGCCACGTTGTTAAGGATGTTGCAATTGGAGTTAAGATTTTTATATAGGAATATAATAGCAAGCAACGAGCGACGTGCTTTGGACAAACTAATTTTAAAAAATTTATTCGCTATTTTGGCGCATGCTTTTCAAAGGATATAATCTAATAGGAAGTTATATGAATTAGCAAAGCAATAAAGCATGGTGCGATCGGTTCTGCTCTCTGGGTAGCACCGCAATATGACATTGTTCGTGATGGTCCTTTTGTCTAAATGGCTTCGATTAAGTTGAAGGGTCCTTGGCTCTATTTAATCAGCAAGAGGCACCAGCGACGACAAACTCTTTTCGAAACAATTATGTGCAGACTAAATGTTCTTTTTGTTGCCGCAAGAACAGAAGGTACGAGACAAAAGCACTCCGTAGTAGAATACAGACAAAAACACACTGCTCTTCTTTGCTTTTTCAGCTTTCTGCTGTTCTTTGCTTTCTCATTTCTAAACCATGTCCGTTTCACCCTTAGTCTCTAAATTGCTCTACAGGTTTGGCTTTCGGATGTCTTAAGTATGTCATGCCATGCGTTCACTTGCTGATGTTAGGAAGTCTAATTATGGATGTAGTAGTAGAAGGCAGGAATGGACTGAATTCACACGCACGTTGATACATTTGAAATGCCTTCCTTCTGTAATAGAGTTTGTTTTTGTGCAAGAACCGCAGTTAACGTAGCTATTAGTGAATTTAAAGCTCAGTAAAGTTGATAGAGACCTAAGACTAACTGGGATCGATACCTATACTACATCTTCTGCAATTCTTTTTCAGCCAGAGATTCACTTCCTGAGCTCACAATTTTCTGTAATGTGCATTCGCTCTTTCAAGTTTGTGTATATCCAGTGTGAACCAATGGTTGTTAATTGTGTAATTGATAATAATCAAACATGGTATTGGTACTATTTCTGCCTCGGCAGTATCAGAAATATCAGGTAAATCGTATGCTGTACTTTGAGAAACTGAGATTTGCATGCATCTCTTTGTGTCTCATTGGTGTTTTAGCACAACTTTCTGTTCTCCCTTGCCATTTTTTATGAATTGTCTGTTTGCATATTTGTTATTATTCTGCAGAATTATCATGGTAACTGTATGGTTTGCAGGTGATACTAGTTCAAGAACAACTGTCGAAGAACAGGATAATTATTGATATTGACAAGAAGGGGAAGTGAGTTTTCTTTACTGTCAGAATTTTGCTATTATATTTACTTAAATAAGGCCTCATAGATTGTTCGTCTTGCTGCTGCCAGGTTATTGGCTTTCCACCCTGCCCCAGAATTTGTACCCCTGACTCTGTGATTAATTTACTTAGTCATTCTTATCTCATTTTGAAGTAGAATTTCACTGTAGGAAAGATTGGTACTCTTTTGCAAACGTCTAGTTTAACACGTATCTGATTCTGTACAACTCCAAGCCATGTTAGACTGTTGTGATATTCTACGTCTGGATAATGATGTTGCTTATGGTCCGGTTTGACCCGTTGCAGCATAAATGCATCTGTTACTGGAAGTAAAGAGGCAACAAAGAGCAAAATGGTGGTTGTGATGAAAAAGAGAAGATGTACTTACAACTCAATCAATTTGCAATGGTGGTTTCATATATTTTAGTTTCTTTCACATGCTTAAAAGGAATGTCTCAGATTTTTGTTCTGCTGTCCGCGGAATATTCCGATTATGATAGTCATGAAAGCAATGGGAATATTAAGCGATCAATAGGTTGTACAGATGATTGGCAGAAATCCTAGATACAGTGCCCTACTTCTTCCATCATTTGAGGTATGTGTCTGGTCAAGGAAAATTTTTTATGCTTCTCAGGATCAATCATCTTTCATCTGACAATTCTGTATGCATTAAATGAATCTTTTAGTGAAAGATTTTCTCTTATGCTTGTGATTAGGCGCTTGTAACATCTTATCATGTTTTATGATCTTCCAGACTATCCTGACGTGTTTAATTGCCAATGATAATCATCTTCCCGGAAAATGGAATTATGGAAACCTCTGTAGTCCAGGATGAATTTAGTGAATTCATCATGGAAGCGGATCAGCTTAATCCAGTTTACTTGTCAGTACCTTATGTGAGAATGAGCTGTAAAATATATTTATGATTGTAATTAGCTAGAATCAAGGATTATAGTTAGCTAGTTTAGAGGATATATTTTTTAAGATTCTTTCTTTTCTTTGTATATATATACGCTTCTAGGTCATTGTAAACTTAAGAAGAAGAAATACAGAAAAGTGAGGAACGTGGTTTTCTTCCTCGAAATATCATTGTATTAACATGGTATCAGAGCCAAGGGTTTGCTCTTTGTGAGTATTGTACGTGAATCCTCGATTACGGCGTTCTCTATTGCGCCGTTCGGCGTGCGTCCTACTCGATCTTCTTCATCTTTGTCACGATTTTTTTTGGATCCATGGAGGATCAGAACCCTACCGGAGCGGTGATTCCCCATCAGAACCAAGGGGGGAATTCGACCACGGAAGCCTTTTTGGAGAATCTGACTGCCAGATTAACTCAGATTCTCACTCAGAACCAGACGCACCCTCCTCCTCCATCACCAACACCGCAGAATGATTCGGCTTCATCTCAAATTGCAATTAAACTGGATGGAGCCAACTATGGATTATGGTCTCAGGTTGTCGAGATGGACATCACTGGTAAAGACAAACTGGGATATATCAATGGAGACCTTCCTCAGCCACTGCCTACAGATCCTGGCTTTCGGAGGTGGAAAACAGAAGACTCGACTGTGAAAGGATGGCTTATCAACTCCATGGATTCGGCGTTGATTGGCAATTTCATTCGCTTCCCAACAGCGAAATCTGTCTGGGATGCAATTGCAACGACTTTCTTTGACAGAACGGATGCCTCTCAGGTTTATGACTTGAAGAGGCGTGTTGCTCGGATGCGACAAGGAGGAGGACCAATTGAGGCGTACTACAACAACCTTCAAGGCTTGTGGAGAGAAATCGACTTTCGCCGTCCGAACCCAATGCGGTATCCTGAAGATATTGAAAGATACAATATGGCTATACAGGAAGATCGGGTATACATATTTCTTGATGGGTTGGACGACCGTCTTGACAAGGTTAGAGCAGATGTTTTGCAGATGCAGCCGTTTCCTACTGTTGAAGAAGCCTACGCGCGTGTCCGTCGAGAAGACATGAGACAAACTGTAATGCTGACCAACAGCGACACGGTCCATGATTCGGCAGCCATGGTATCTCGGGGGAATAGGACGAATGTCAAAACAAATCAAGAACCGCTGTTGCAAATAGCGAAGCCAGGAGTTACGCAGGAAGGGGGAAAGCCTAGCTCGGCACTACGCCAGAAAATTTCTCCTGGGGGGAGGTTGCTCGAATTGTGGTAATTCTAAGCATACCAGGGAGACGTGCTTTAAGCTTCATGGGTATCCAGATTGGTGGAAAGAGTTGAAAGCTCGAAAGCAAGCAGAAGGAAAAAGGAAAGCTTCTTTAGCGACTGCTGAGCCTCAACTGTCACTGATACCTCACGTTGATCCTCAGAATTTGATGTCAGGAGGTAATCATGGAAGTGCTTTGGTTAGTTCTAATCAGATTGATCGCAATCACTGGGTTATTGATTCGGGAGCTACTGATCACATGACATTTACTCCTGATGACTTTGTTCATACTTCAAAACCAAGACGTGACAGTATCTCAAATGCTAATGGATACACCTATCCGGTGACTGGGGCTGGAGTTGTTGCGATTTCTCCTGCTTTTTCTCTTCCTAACACCTTGCTTGTCCCTTCATTATCGACCAAATTGATTTCGGTAGGACAAGTTACTGAAGATTTGAATTGTGCTGTTATAATGTATCCCCACTTTTGTTTGTTTCAGGATATTCTCACGAAGGAGATAATTGGGCGTGGTACTAAGAGAGAGGGGCTGTATTATATGGATGACTTCAGTTTCGGGAGTGCAAATCATGCTAGCAGTACATCCATCAGTAGAGAAAAAGAAATTTGGCTTTGGCATCGACGGTTGGGACATCCGTCATTTGGTTATTTGAAGCGATTATTTCCTGAATTGTTTTTGAATTTGAAGGATTTAAATTTGCAATGTCAGACTTGTATATTGGCTAAGAGTCATAGAGTTCCTTTTCCTATAAGTTTGAATAAAAGTGAAGCTCCTTTCTCTTTGATACGTTCAGATGTTTGGGGTCCATCTCCTATTACTGCTGTTTCGGGTTGTAGGTGGTTTGTGATATTTGTTGACGACTGTACTAGAATGACATGGCTTTTCTTGATGAAAAGTAAGAATGAGGTAGCCAAGATATTTAGAAATTTTCATACTATGTTACAGACCCAATTTAGTGGACAGATCAAAGTTCTAAGAAGTGATAATGGTGGGGAGTACATGAATGAATACCTTAAGGAGTATTTTCAACAACATGGCATGATTCATGAGTCATCTTGCTCTCAAACACCTCAGCAGAATGGTGTGGCAGAGAGAAAGAATAGACATATCCTTGAGACAGCTCGAGCTCTGTTGATTGAAAGTCATGTGCCTCAGAGATTTTGGGACAATAGTGTGACTACAGCTGTCCATCTCCTCAATCGGATGCCGTCTAAAGTCTTAAACTTTCAAACACCACTACAGACTTTGTCCACATATGTGCCTTTACCTTCAGTCCTGACCATCCCTCCTCGGGTGTTTGGGTGTGTTGCATTTGTTCATACCCCAAAGAATCAGCGAACGAAACTTGATCCTTGTGCACTACGATGTCTGTTCTTGGGGTATGGTACACACCAGAAGGGATATCGTTGCTATGACCCTTCTACCCGGCGAACCTATGTGACTATGGATGTCTCGTTTGTGGAAGCTGAATCTTTTTATCCGAGTTCCTATTCTTCCTCTCAGGGGGAGATACAGATAGAAAGGGCGAATTGGTGGGAGTTTCCTGGTAGTATATTATCTGGAGGGGTGGAGAAAGTATCGTCTAAAGGGGCGGAAGAGCATGGTAGTATATTATCTGGAGGGGTGGAGAAAGCATCGTCTGAGGGGACGGAAGAGGCATCGTCTGGGGGTGTGGAGAAGACATCGTCTGAGGCGGTGGTATCGTCTGAGGAAGTAGAAGAGGTATCATATGAGGGTGGCCAACTTCTACAGGAGCAAAATCATGAAGAACAGCTTCCCTCTTCTCCAGTACCCGACTCAACTGCTGAGAATATTCCTGAGGTAACCTCTCCTACTCCTTCTTGTATCTTTGATGAGCTTAATACTTATGTGGGATATAAATTACCTGCTAGACACAATCGAGGTAAGCCTCCAAATAGATATTCGCCGGATGCTGAAGAGAAGAGATGTACATATCCTATTGCAAATTATGTGTCAACCAAAAGGTTGTCAGGCCCAGTAAAGGCATTTATATCGAACGTGTCCGCAGTTCGTATTCCAGAAGGGGTACAGGATGCTCTGAAAGATCCCAAGTGGGTTCAAGCAATGGAGGAGGAGATGGCTGCATTGAAAAAAAATGAGACCTGGAAGCTAGTAGATTTACCCAAGGGAAAGAAGACAGTGGGATGTAAGTGGGTCTTTTCTGTGAAGTACAAAGCAGATGGATCGATTGAGAGGTACAAGGCAAGACTAGTAGCAAAGGGGTATATGCAAGCTTACGGAATTGACTATCAAGAGACATTTTCTCTGGTTGCTAAACTTAATACTGTTCGGGTCTTGTTGTCTCTTGCTGCTAATTTAGACTGGCCACTACACCAGTATGATGTCAAGAATGCATTTCTTCACGGTAATCTCGAAGAAGAGATTTATATGGATGTTCCGCCAGGTTATTCTTCATCCTCACAGCCTGAGGCGGTGTGTAAGTTAGAGAGATCATTGTATGGTCTGAAGCAGTCTCCACGAGCATGGTTTGGCCGGTTCACTTTGGCGATGAAGAGGTATGGATATTCCCAAAGTGACTCAGATCACACATTGTTTCTAAAACGACATCAAGGGAAGGTTACAATGTTGATTATCTATGTTGATGATATGATTATCACTGGAGATGATTTGATAGAAATATCTAAGCTTCAAGAGAAACTTTCTGAGGAGTTTGAGATGAAAAATCTTGGGGGGTTGAAATACTTCCTAGGGATTGAAGTAGCGAGGTCGACAGGGGGAATATTTCTCTCACAAAGAAAGTATGTGCTAGATTTATTGGCAGAGGTGGGAATGTTGGACTGCAAACCTGCAGACACACCAATTGTTCAGAACCATAGACTTGGGGAGTATCCAGATCAAGTGCCAACAAATAAAGAAAGATATCAAAGGTTAGTTGGCAAACTAATTTATCTGTCGCATACTCGTCCTGATATTGCATATGCGGTGAGTATTGTTAGCCAGTTTATGCATGCCCCAAGTGAAGATCATATGAATGCAGTGTTGCGTATACTTCGCTACTTGAAGTCTTCTCCAGGACGCGGTTTGAGGTTCTTAAAAAGGGGTCATCTTGAAATCGAAGGATTTACTGACGCGGACTGAGCCGGGAGTGTTCATGATCGAAGATCAACTTCAGGATACTTCACTTTTGTGGGAGGAAACTTAGTTACTTGGAGAAGCAAGAAACAGAAAGTAGTAGCATTATCAAGTGCAGAGGCTGAATTTAGAGGGATGGCCAAAGGGGTGTGTGAGCTCCTATGGCTTAAGAAGTTAATGTCAGAGATTGGGTTCGCTCCTAAAGCCGAGATGAAGTTGTTCAGTGATAACAAAGCAGCAATTGATATCTCTCATAATCCAGTTCAACATGACCGTACCAAACATGTTGAAGTGGACCGTCATTTTATCAAGCAAAACTTGGACGCCAAAGTGATTCGATTTCCATTTGTACGATCTGAAGATCAGTTGGCAGATATTCTGACGAAGGCTGTATCAAGCAGGATCTTCTACAGCTCACTTGACAAGTTGGGCATTCACGACATTTATGCACCAACTTGAGGGGGAGTGTGAGAATGAGCTGTAAAATATATTTATGATTGTAATTAGCTAGAATCAAGGATTATAGTTAGCTAGTTTAGAGGATATATTTTTTAAGATTCTTTCTTTTCTTTGTATATATATACGCTTCTAGGTCATTGTAAACTTAAGAAGAAGAAATACAGAAAAGTGAGGAACGTGGTTTTCTTCCTCGAAATATCATTGTGTTAACACCTTATAGGAAGGATATGAAATCATATCTGGCTACATGTTTCTGATTTTGTGTATTTTCTCTACGTTTTGGCTTTTCTGTCTCACCAGTTGCCTTAATTTCAGGAATGCGCAAGCCTCGGTATATTTACGCAACAACAAGCTCTTGAGTTCCTCGAGGGAAAGGTTTGAAAAGCTTTGCAACTTCAAGCTCATGACTTCTCCGTTGTGTTTCTGTTCTGCAAGAGTGTAACAAGTTCCTTAAACTTGTAATATGGCCCCTATCAACTCTACACCTTAAACAGAAAAGAGGGACCACTCCATTATCAAATACACCATGCCAATTGTTTGTTTATGCACTGTAGGACCTATTATTTTTGTCCAAGAATCAGCAACTCAGATTGCCAGTGCGTTTGAGCCTTAGCCAGATTTTAGACACGGGATAGAAGGTTCAACACGGCATCTATAGAAAATATCTTAAATCAACATGATCAAGGCACCACTTGTTTAGGATCTATTACCCACTATGCCCTGTGGGCATCTGTTGATAATCTTCTCTACTCTTTCTTGTGCTCAGGCTCATTAGTACTCTAATAGAAATATAAATATCTGGAATATCTTCTCAATCCTTTCTTGCACGATAGTTTTAGTAATTGCAAGTTGTTGGTAACTAATCAATGGTCTTTTATTCCAGCAAGGTACAGTAACTATGTTAGATGACATTGAAAAAGTTAGATACAGCTAATTTCTATTGACTCTTGTATTTTAAGTAAGTGGGAGATTTAGTTGCTTCTTTAACAGTGTGTATATCTGGCTCGTTTCATGGTGATGGCATAGTGTTTCTGCTCATCTTCTCACACATTGATTTCTGCTGCAGTTTAAGAAGTTGCCATATGCAAATACTTCAACTGGAGAGGCTGTGCCAAGCTGAAGGACACGCTATTACAAATTATCGAGTTTGCCCTAGTGTCGAGTACTTACCAGCACTTCCCGAGTGGCTCTTACTTTGTTTGTATGACTTGTTCAGGAAGGCAGAGCTATGTCTATACTTCAAGATGTATTTCTTGCCAACGTGCGGGTAATCTTCGCTTTAATGTCTTTCTCTTAAACATCATTAGCATAAGCCGGCTCTTATTTATTTATGTAATATGTATATATGGATCTTTGCTTTAATGTCTTTCTCTTAAACATCATTAGCATAAGCCGACTCTTATTTATTAATGTAATATGTATATATGTATCTTTGTGTTTGATATGCATAAGGTGATCAAGCAAAACTTCCGCCCAAAATGTATTGGCAAAAGGACACTAGAAGTGCCATAAGTTGTGTACGGAGATCACTTTGGTGCCATAACTTTTTTTCGGATCACTTTGGTGCCAACTTTTTTGAAAAACGTTCACTTTAGTGCCAATGCTGACATGGCCGCCGGAAATCTGACGTGGCTCTTTTTTTTATTAATTTTCGATGCTGACATGGCTCACCGGAAATCTGACGTGGCTTGCCGGAAATCTGACGTGGCTCTTTTTTTGGCCGGAATTTTGGCCGGAACCACTAAAGTGATCTCTTTTCCTCCGACTTGACACCAAAGTGATCCAAAAAAAAGTTATGGCACCAAAGTGATTTCCGTACACAACTTATGGCAGTTATAGTGTCCTTTTGCCAAAATGTATTGCTGTAATGTTACGACGAATGATGGAAGCAATTTTGAACAAGGATGCGATTGATGATAAGGTGGATGAGTCCCAACCCCATCGTGAAGAACTTCTTTCATTTGTGGCAATATTTTGATGTGTGAACAGGAGTAAATTACATTGAGATGAAGTGTTACTTGATTCGTCCTGTATAACCATGCATTGTTTAGGATGGCCGAGAACAAATTTTGGGAGTTCAGGAAAACTCTTCTGCTGCTAGATTGCTTCTCAAAATTTCTTTCCTCCAATAGAAGTTTGACTACATTTTCCCCAACTCTTCAGAGATGGTAACATATCAACTGCGGGATTGGCTGGCTGGCGTTAATTGACTTCTTTTGAAGTAAATAATTAGTGATATGATCATTTAGCATTAAATTAGGCAACTAGGGTTTTGTGGTGTCTCTCAATGCTCTATAAATAGAGCTCTTATCTAGTGTTTCTTTAAGTCTGTCGAGTAAAGACGTCGCCCCTTGAGTAATCTCTCTCCGTCTTTCTCGTGATTCTAAAGTACTTACAACTTCCCTGCGGGTATGATAATATGGTACATAATATATTTAGGTGGAAGAGGAGGATAGTATAGGAGATTCATTATCTTTTGCAACAGATCTCACGGATGTTTTTCTTGAATATGGCAAATCTCATGTTCATAAATGATATCTCCATGGAGCAATAACAGGCTATTAACAAGTGAAACTCGGCAATCCAATTGGCTGATCTGCAATATGGTTGGAAAAGTCTTAACCAGTTTCAGACAGTATGGTATTTATTTTTAAGGAAAAATGATACAAATAGTCTATAAACTTTAACTTAATGTGCAATGTGGTTCATAAACTTTTAATTTATTCAATATAGTCCCCGAATTTTGGCCCAATGTGCAATGTAATCCCTGAACTTTTAATTTATTCAATATAATCCCTAGACTTTTGATACATGTTCAATTTAATTCCTAAATTATATGAAAAAGTTTAATGTTGTTCCTGATTTTGAATAAATGGAAGGACTACATTGAGCATGTCCATATAGTTCGAGGATTACATTGAATATGTACCAAAAGTTTATGGACCACATTGAATAAATTAAAAGTTCAGGGGCCACATTAAACATTAGGCTAAAGTTCATGGACTATAATGAACAAATTAAAAGTTTAAAGACCACATTGCATGTTGGGCTAAAGTTCAGGAATCATTTGTATCGTATCCTTATGTTTAACAGTTGAAGGTTGTCCTAGCAAAAGATTTTAGGGAAAATATCACCAAAAACCCCAGACTATGCCACTTGTGACAAATTTACACTGAACTTTTTTTTGCAACACGAAAAACCCCAAACTATACTACTTGTGACACATTTACCCCACAATATTTTTCCCAAGGGCATTTTCATCTTTTCCTTTTTATGTTTTTTTTTTCCTTTTTTTTTTCTTTCTTTTCTCTTCCCTCCGCCGGCCATGGTGGAGGGAAGCCGGCGAGGGCGACCCTCGCCCAACTCAGGCGACCCTCGCCTGAGTCGGGCGAGGGTCGCCCTCGCTAGATCCGACGACGGTAGCCCTCGCCAGATCCGGCGACGGCAGCCCTCGCCAGATTCGGCGACGGCAGCCCTCACCGGCTTCCCTCCGCCATGCCCGGCAGAGGGAAAAGAGAAGAAAGAAAAAAAAAAAGGAAAAAAATAGAAAAAGGAAAAAGACGAAAATGCCCTTGGGCAAAAGTATTGTGGGGTAAATGTGTCACAAATGGCATAGTTTGACGTTTTTCGCGTGGAATTACGAATTGATAACCTTAAAGTTTCCGGGACTTCTTTGTGTCCATAGATACATCATCCTTCCCATTTTGCAGAACCAATACACGCATATGAGACCTGGACCGCTTTGGAAATCATCTCGATTTGGTAATTGGATAAAATCCTTCGATCCGAGGGACTTCTTGTACGCTTGTAATGGCAACCTTTTCAAGGATATAATTAGTATCCGCCAACTCGGACAAGTATGTATTTCACTCATCAAGCTTTGACGAGTTCTTATCATGCGCTTGTATGTTATCAAGTTTTTTTGTCCTATGATAGGAGTGTTGTAGAGACTCGGCTACTTGGAGGCTCATGTATTACTCCCTAAATACTATGAAACGATTAAGTCTAGGTCGTGGCATATGCAGGTAATTCCGACTTGGAGCGGTCCATGTATGTGGTTGGTGGGATTTGATTAAGCAACCTCCAGTTCCTTACGTGAGAATCCCCTGATGCCCGCTCTCACTACACCTAACCCTAGAAGATTTTATGAAGCCTTTTGTTTAGTTAGTTTGCACTCACGTATATTACGCGTGATGGTTGAGCTTTTGGGCCTTTTATTTGCAACGGTGTGCCTCTGAGAAGGGAGAACAAATGATACTTTTTTTTGTTTCCTCCTTGATTGTCGATAAAGAGCATAGACAATCCACTATAATAGCTACGGAAAAGGTGAATGCTGTTATGAAATTCCTCCTTCACGTAGTCTATTGACAAAGAATTCAATAAGCGCGTAGCGCATGCATGAGTTCAACATTCTTAAGCCCTCTGTATGGATGCATTCGCCGTGGCACTTCCCTGTAGCGTTGAGCTTGGTAACACAATGATGCAAAGTTTTGCTTTGATAATGCCCAAAGCTCATCTCCAGCTTTGGATTTTGGCATTTTCTAATTGTTACTTTAAAGGTTTTAATGGGATTTTTTTTTTCTTTCAATCTTGCCTTTATTAGTAGATAATAGTCCTGTTTTACCCCAGAGACAGAGAAGAGGGAAAGAGGGTCATGCGCGTGATGGGACGGCAGCCGTGGACGAGAGGAGGTCAGGATGGTGGCGCACTCGTTGGTGGGATGTGGGGGTGGTGGTATCGAATTTTGGGGGTTGGGGTTTGGAAGACAAGGTGAGTCGAAACTGGTGGGGCTCGTGATATCAAAGTTGATTTTTAAAGCGTAGTGTATACTTATTACCGAATAATTTTTGCATGCAAAAAATCTTTAGAGTCAAAGTCCCTTATTTAGAAATCATTCTTCCAAAATTCTTCCAAATGCACTCTGATATTGGATAAAGTGAATTGAAGAGATATGAAGTCGCCATAACGACACCTAGCAGTGAATTTTAAAAAGAAAAAGAAAGACTTTACAAGAGCACAACTTTCTTTAGTTGGTGTTCGTAGAGGCACAACAAGGAGCATCTATTCGATATTTGCACCTCCCACGTTTGAATTTCCTTTCCCTCATCCTCCATTTCGTGAAAAATCATTTGCAATGTTCGAGTGTCTCAAAAGCAACGGGAGTTTCAGAATTTCAAAATAAGTCAATGCGCGCGAGCTGTGGAATCTAAATTAAGTAAAAAAATAAAAATCAATCCCGACAGGTCCTCAATGTTTTCGGTTTAATACCGAAACTCTTCCCTTTTTTGGGCCACGCCTTATCGTCTTGTCCCTCTGTTTACACCAAAATCGGCATGGATGTCAAGTCGGTTTAATGTCAAAATCCGACGGACAATGGAGCTCAGTCATCTGCCGAAGTACGTTTGGATAAAATTCGGGAATGTAGTAAGCGTGAATGGCACCATGTTCCGAATTCTGTGATTGGAGAGAATCGGTAATTTTACCGAAACATGAAAAGTTTACATTTCGGGAAATGCTGAAGCTACCGAAAATCGGCAAGATCACAACCCAGCCACGTGAATCGTGACAACAGGAAGTTATGAGCAAAAAGCGGAGATAGTGAGCACGAGCAGATCGTGGGAGATTATTTATCCAAATTGGAAGTCATCCCAGCGGTTGAGATCAAGTTTTGGTGGACAATGAAATTGGAAAACGTGGGTAGATAATGCAATTATTGCAAGCGCCAAGATTCAAAGTTCGAAAACAAAGAAGTAACCGACAAGCATAGGAGGAGATATAAATACTCAGAAGAAAGAAGAAGAGAAAAAATCAACAACAATGCAAAAACACTCAAGCTTATATGCACTTTAGTTTCCTCTGCACTTTTACTTCCTGCGTTTACAGCTTCCTGTAGCTTTAGTTAACCTTCAAGTCCTTTACAGCTTTCATAGGAGTATTGTAACGTAGTTAGAAATTTTGTTGATCTCAGATCCATTTTCAATCCACTCAATTTCTACCCGCTTCCATATAACCCTGCACTACACTCTGTTTTTTGCCACGATTTTCCTAGAAATCAAGCCACAGAACCTACTTTAATAAAAATCGAAAATCAAAGTTTCGGTGAAGGATATTCCTCGTTGTAAAGCGAGCGAACATCTTTTTGGCACGCCCAGTGAGACTCGCGTGGTAAGATTTGGAGAAATGGTGAGAACTAGACAATCTGAAGGAATACCGGTCGGCAACGTCAACAATCCAGTTGATGAAGCACATTCTGAACACTCTGCGGCTAATCAAGTAGAGGAGAATGCCGACATTCCTCGGCAATTAACTGAAGAATAAGCCCGTGCGTTGGCACCAGATAACACCTTGATAGCCACGATAAAAAAGATATTTAAGGAACAGCAGAACGATCTTACCAATCATATGGTGCGACATGTAACTGATGTGATAAAGCCCATGGTGATCAATGCTATAAATGAGGTAATATCGCGTCCCAGTTCATCTTCTCAAGTTCCACCCTTGTATGCAAATTCTCCTGGGACAACATCATTCCCACCAACATCGGGACCTCCTCATGTTGGATATAATGGTAATGGGGGATCAAATTCTCAACCTGCTGTTAGAATTATATCAAGGCTAGAGAATCCTACCCCTATAAACCTTGTGAATGGTGTGAGTGCTTATAATTTCCCTCAAAATGCCTCAAATGAAGTTAATTCGATTAATTTCATGGCCACACCCTCTTAACCGTCCCATAAAATGATTATTTCCATATCGGGATTGCTATCGCTAATGCCCGAGCAATTTGGACTTTCCTCCTTTTTCTTTGATTGGGATGTTGGGCATTTGGATCTTTCAAAACAAAGCCAACGCCACCTAAAGAGAAAAGTTCAAGTAGAAATTCCCACACGAAGCACGTTTTTAGGAAATTTCACGCAAAGCATATATCACCTTCCAACTAAATCGGGACCCTAGCGACCAAAAAAAAACAAGAAAAACTAAATTGGGACCCCAACACCGACACCAACACCAAGACCGACCACCGCAGAAAAAGGAAAATATTTATTTAAGGAATGTTAGCCCGGCAGGCCGACAAATGACCAAACTAGCCCCCCTAATCCCCCGCTCCGGCGGCCCTTCGCGAGGCTAACGTCGCTGTGAAATCGGTCAAAGCACAAATTAGAGCCGTCGTGAAAATTTCGATTAATCGTTGGTTGCTCTTTAGTTCGAGCGGGCGAGGCGGCATTAATCTCCTCCTCATCGCTTTGCTTTTCTAGGGTTTCGTCATCTCCATCTCCATCTCGTCTGAGCTCCTTCCTTCTGCGCTTCGAGCGGGAGCTTTCTCGATTCTCTCTCTCTCTCTCTCTCTCTCTATCTCTACTCCTCGTCGGCTGCTTCCTGCCGGTCAGCGGTTGCCCGGTTGCGTTCGTTTGAAGGGCACAGAGAGAGAGAGAGAGAGAGAGAGAGAGAGAGAGAGAGCGAGAGCGGGGGAGGGAAGGGGAGGGGGGGGAGGGTGACCTCGTGTCTCCCACCGGACACCGCTCGCCCTTTTGTCCGCTTGCTGGAGCTTCGCTTTCCGAGCCCCTCTCGGTCGTCCCGCCTATTGCTGGAGCTGATTCGCCGCGGCTCCGGAGGGTTCTCGCCTTCTCCTCGCGGGCTCGACTTTGATCCTGTCGCGATTGTCTCGGGGGGCTGCCCGGTGATCCGACGAGGGCAGGTGCGGTTTTTTTTTTTTTTTTGGGCTCCCGCTGATAATTTCCTTTGCTAGTTGCGGCGGGTCTGATTTCTCGTGAATTGCTTCTTCTGGTTATCAAATTTTCTCTTTTTTGGGGGTTGGGGGGGATTTTGTTTGTTGGCGATTGGTGTCGTATTGCTCGATTGCTTTTCTTTTGCTCGAAGAAAGCTATGGTGGTAAGGGTTGAGAGGAGATGAGTTTTTACCATGATGATGAAGAAGGAGGATTTGTTGTTATTGAGGTTGTTGCTCGTCTTTTTTTTTTTTTTGTAAAATTTTTTGGCGATTGTTTGTTTGGGACCTGGTTGTTGGAGGTGGTTTGCTCATCATTCTAGCCATTCGCTCTGTTACCAGGTGGTTGGGACCCTTGTTGGGCACTGAAGAGGAGGCTGCTTACGAGTACCGGTATCCGGCGAAATAGATGTTGTTGAGATATGATAATACTTGTCGAGTCAGCTGTTAATCGTCGTGCTCTTTGCGATAAAGGGGTTCGAGAGAGGCTGTTTCATTTTGAGAGTACAAGATGCCATCCTCTTATATTTTGAAACTGAGAAATGCTGTTCAGAGTGGCGTCCCGAAGTCGAGTGTTGGGAAGGATGGTAAGGTGCAAGGGCCAGTGGAAGCTCTAGTCGAGCAAGGGAAGTCTTGGTTTGGAAATTCTAGGTTGTTTCATTCTGTGCCTTTTTGTCGAGTTCCGGACCTGCAATTGCTTTTGCCTCCTGGCACTGTTGTTGCGGCAAGATCAGATTCGCAGTTAGCTAATCAAAGAAGAAACATCTCTGTTGTTGGTGCTCTGTCTCGCACATTTTCTACTCCTTCAGTGTCCGGCCCTTCGTTTCAGGTTTGTGCATATCACGTTGATCGGGCCTTCTCTGAGTCGGGCCAATCTGTGGACAGCTGCAAGTTTCAAGATAAACCGATGGCTGCCTGTGGTTCAAGAGCTGTGTTGAGTGATTGCCGTCTGGATAATTTGATTTCATGGCGTCCACATCATTCAGTGTCTACAAATCATGCCACTGCTCATTATAGCAACAAAAGCTTCGACAGTTGCCAAAGATTTAGCATGAGTTTGAAAAATAAGGAGCAACCCAATAAGCATCAGATATATGGATACTTTGTGTTCAGTGCCTTAAAGGGGAAATACAACTCTGGTCAATACTTTGAGTCGGGCCTCAGAGATCTTTATGCTTCATCTTGCAGAAGTTTATCTACAGGCACTGCTCCAGATGTCTCCTTTGACAATTTTTCAAGGGACGAACAGCTCGGAAGTCAAGCAGTGTCTTCTGAGGGGTATATTTCTATCTTGAAATCCAGTCATTTTGTTATTTATTATGGTTCTTAATCTGTGATTCCTCCTAGCTATGGCATTTCTTCTTTTTCTTGGTGTCATTTTAAATTTCTCCTTACAGACAAAATGAGGCAAATGACAGAAGGCTCGTTCAATATTTATGCTTGGTATCTAATTTGGTTTGTAAAGGTCTTGGTAGGTTTATGGGTTTGGAATTCGAGTAGGTTCTTTTGGACATAGGTCGTGTACTTTATCATTTTAAATGGTCAGCCGTGCTAGAGCAGAGTGTACTACAGAACTATTTGCTCCTTCCTCATTATTGGTGGAAGGAATTATTTTGTCCCATGTTAGTTATGTTTGTCTTTCTATGACATCAGAACAAATCTACCTGGCAAAACGCTGAAGCTACTTTCAGGGTCGTGTTACCTACCCCATCCTGATAAAGAAGAAACTGGTGGAGAGGATGCTCATTTTATCTGTTCTGATGAGCAAGCAGTAGGCGTGGCAGATGGTGTTGGTGGCTGGGCGGATTATGGAATAGATGCAGGGCTATATTCTCGAGAGCTTATGTCTAATTCAATTACTGCTATTCAGGACGAGCCCAAGGGCTCTATCGACCCCTTCAGAGTTTTAGAAAAGGCATACTCAAGCACCAAAGCAAAGGGTTCATCCACAGCTTGCATCATTGCTCTCACAGAGCAGGTATTGTTCTCTTAGAACACAGGTCTTACCATATGATGCATCTGTTCTTGAAAATGATTAGTTTTTGTACTATTACATTGGTTTGATATTTCCCTTTTTGGATGGCAATACAAATCACAATTGCTTCTGCTTTGGTGCATCTACAAGTAGATGGTTGAATCATATCACATGATTCGTTTCAGTGGGCTGCAATGAATCTGAAATTTTCTGGGTAGAGTGATTCCACTTGTCTGATTGGACACTAGGTCGCAGAGCTCATAGATTCGAATGCGCTCAGAGCGCTTTTTCCGACTGATCTGGCTCAGTTGCATAAGATTTTCTTATGTCCTGGGTGTTTGATGTAAATTGTGTGCATAAGGTTGCTTGGTGGAGCTGATTTGTCTGACTTGCTGACAAATTGCTTGTGCTGGTTACATATTGATCTGCAACTCGAAAACATGGGTGATTTAAGATGAATCTTCCTTTGACTTTGGACTCTTCCACAGAAGAATGATGCTGTCTTTTGAGTTCAGTTTGTTAGGATGATGTTATGCTCTTTTCAACAATGGTATGTTGCTTCTATTTATATGGCAGGGTCTCCATGCTATTAATTTGGGCGACAGTGGGTTCATGGTAGTCCGGGATGGATGCACAATCTTTAGGTCTCCTGTTCAACAGCATGATTTTAATCTGACCTATCAACTTGAGTGTGGAAATAGTGGTGATTTGCCCAGTTCTGGTCAGGTCAGTAAAGGTGTTAGTTCTGTTGTGTCATATTTTCCTAGATACTTCTTTGCTCAGCAATTTACTTACTTGCCTGGAGTTAATTCTGCTTTTCGCTGTTCCGTTTGCTGTCTTTTGCCCTGCGATTATCTGGTTTGAGATGGTATTGAAAGTAGCTATTAATTTGGAATTTGATGTACAAGTTGACGTGTCGGGAATTATGAAATAACTAAGCAAGGATTATGCATGCTTATGATTCGCCATAACACAGCTGTTGTTTCAATATTCCAGCTATCTTAATGGCCTCTACTTGACGCAGGTATTCACAATTCCTGTTGCACCGGGGGATGTTGTGATTGCTGGTACTGATGGACTATTTGATAACCTCTACAACAATGAGATTACTGCTGTAGTTGTTCATGCGACAAGGGCTGGTCTAGGGCCACAAGTCACGGCTCAGAAGATAGCAGCATTGGCACGCCAAAGAGCGCAGGATAGGGATCGACAGACTCCATTCTCTACTGCTGCGCAAGATGCTGGTTTTCGCTATTATGGTGGCAAGCTTGATGACATCACTGTTGTTGTCTCCTACATAACCGGTTCACGAGATGTATGTTTTGTTCCTTTCCATACTTAATGCATTTTCTATTTCGTTATATTTGTTCATTATGTTTCAACTTTAAAAATGAACTCCGTGCATTTTCTTTCTCAAATTTGGAGATTAGAACTTCTAATAATCGATTGCTCTTCTGCTTGCGTCTGCAGGAAAAACAATCGTCAGCTTAAGATGGCACTCCTTATACAAAATATGGGGTCATCACACGAGACAGGTCAATTTTGGCACTCGTACTTCTAGGTTATTATTTTCAGGGCTCGAGCTGAAATGGAATATCATGTGCTAGAAAGCGTTTTTACACCCCACATAGCCATTTATTGGTTGATGATGTCTGAGCAGCTCCTGTAAATATCGTTTGGTCAGCTATGTCCGTGCTGTATTCATGTGATCAGGAAACACCTGTGACTTTGCAATAGTTGCGTGAATGTCTAATGGATGAGATGAGATTACGGTGAGATACTTTGTCACCCTGTTGTGCCCCTTCTCTTTCTTTCCTTTTTTCTTCCTTGGCCAAACTGACCTTAAATCTTTGTGTACCAACCCCTAATCGAGTGGGAGAAATTACTGCTGTCTTGCTCGTCAACATGTTTGTTCCTTCTGTTCTCCTCTTTCTTGATTTACGAAACTCAGTAAAATTGTCCATATGCTTCGTATGTTGAGTTATTCATGCTAGGAAACTTTTTTTGTGTTTAATTCCCTTACCAGTTCTTAGATTGATGATTTATTCGTTTAGGATTATGGGTTAAATGAGAGCTTTGGCTACTTTATGACATTGATTCTTGTAATATCTTTGTGTTGCTGTCATACCTTAACTGTAATATTTTGTTTAAACATATTTCAAGATACAAAGCCAACCCATCAAGGGTGTGGTCGACTTCCCTCACTCCTTCAGTACGTTTCACCTGGAGTCACTCGGAATCACTCCAGAGTTGAAACCTTCCTTAACAGGATTGCAGAGAGAATCGCCAACACAATCCGATTGTAATTGAAACAATTCCTTGATTATTGTGGCTAGACATCAACATTATTGTATGTTTTAACTGTCAATTGTGACATCACGCAACGTCTTGTGTGAAAAGACTTGGTTGCTCTTGCGCGATAAAATAAAAGGGGGAAGAATGCTTATCCGAACAATGTTTTGCATGCAAGCTAGTATTATCGTTTTATCGTGAGAGATGATGAATGGGTCTATTACTAGAACTGGAATATGCTTATGTCGAAAAGATTTTTCTACTTGTTACAGATTTATCCTGGGGACTTGCTATACGTAAGGATTGAGCAGAGGGGAAGATCTCCCACCCTCAAACCTCCAGGGTTAAATAACTTAGTACTTTGAAAATTGACCGACTGTGTTTTGTATTTCTTAATCAGTGTTATGGACGCAAACAATGTTTATTCTTTTCGAATGTAGGGATCAGGCACATCTTGACGATTGAAATATTATCTGTAGAATGGGATGGTATTTCGTTGAAAAAGTACGAATCCGCGCTTATGGAGTTGTGTCTAGAGGATGCATATCTTTTATAATCTAGGTTAGAATCAAATGCGGCCCCCTCCTCCGACAACTATAGGGGTTCAATGAGCGTGGCGAACGCACATGAAATAGAATCCTTTGACGTACAAAGATGGGGCTTTATTTCTTTTGTTAAATTACATAAAATGGCACAAACTTTAGTTTTTATAATTTTACAAAATGGTGGCACGATATCTCAATGTTTGTCCAATATTGACATTCATTTATAATGTTTCTAATTTTCCCTCTTTGAAAATACCGTGCATTGTAGAAGACCTGGTGTCAACGGTTCAATTTCCATGATACTCAAGCCGAAATGAAAGGTCGCTTGACCCAACCCAACCCGATACCCGAACTGCATATAACCCAAGTAATCGGGTCGGGTTTTGGGGTTTTTTTTTTTGGAACCGCAAATAACAGAGTGAAGTCAAACATGTTATTGATAACCATTGGTGTTCTTCCACTGGTTTTGACACTGATGTATAGCTGAATTAAATTTGCTTTGAAGAGCCGTATGAACCATTGGTGCTCTTCCTCTAATTTTGATACAGTCACATAAGCCTACGTATCATCACCATCAACCTCTGGTTTCACAAAGAACTCAACATAAGCAATTCGATTGGGTTGTTGATAACCGTAAGTGTTGTGTTGGTGCGTAGCAGCAGATCTTGCAACTGAAACGCTGAACGTTGAACATTCCACCTCACCCAATGGTCATCTTGCTTCCTCTGTTGGGCAATTGATCTTTTGGTGGGCGTGGCTCTGGCTCATCTGATTTTGTTGCTCCTCCACGTCCAGCCATTTTCTCCTCACTATTCGCTGCTTCTTGGAAAAGCTTTATCCTTCTTGATCAATACAAAGAAACTCGATCAATCAAAGAGATAAAGCAACTAGCCCAGCACAAATCTAAGCAGAAGCTACATCCGAGCATACCCAAACAACCCAAAATAGGATGTGCCAGACCCAAAAACACAAAACACAAGTTTGACAAAATGCATGGTCCTTACACTGGTTGAGCTATATCCCTCTAGATATTGAAGTAGAGTCGAGAAAATAAACACAATGAAGAAGAATCTTATTCCTTTAGACCAAAAAATACTCCCCTCATTTCTAAAAAATGGCAACAAAAATTCAAATCCACATACCACATAATCAATCATACCACATAGTTCAATGCACATGTACTTCATTGAGCTGTTGATGTGCAAACCAATAGACAAATCCGCCACCCAGAAAACCAAAAAACTAATCCCAATGTCCAAAGCTCAACAGCCTCAATCCTCCAAAATCCACTTCAGACTCATCAATCACCTTGTAAGGAAACAACCCAGAATTTATTGAGCAGAAAAAAAGTCAAAATATTCTTCCCATCTCTTTCCTGGCCCATCACATTGCTCCTATCTCCACCATGTTTTCTTTTGGCTTCTTCTTCCTCTCTCTGCAACTGAATGTACTCCAATCGGAATGGCTACTCTAGGTGACATTGGTGTATAGGCGTTCATGAACTAAGTCAGTTCGCAGGTCTCAATAGTCCACCCACAGAAAGTCGATTGATAACATCGTGGATGAAATACGTACTCGTCCGCGATAGGTCAGTGGAAGCACCATTCTCCGGAAAGCCAAGTGAATTGCTCATCAGATAGTTACGTGTCTCACCGGTACCGTTGTACCACTGTTGAACTTGGGACAGAGGGGAAAAGTATTATCCTTATGGATGGAGAAATACCCATAAAGAAAGCGTTGAGGAAAATCCCTAATTAGTTTTGAAGAAAGAAAAAATAATTCTTTTCTGACCACAATTACACTTAAGTTATTTGATGTAGGTAAATACTGAGTCATCAGACTTAGTCAATGAAAGGACTTTGTTATCAGACTCATAATTCCTCGTCAGATTCAATAAGTGTTATTTTTGGCAAGTTTATGCAGGACAATCAAATTGATATCTCAAGATATCCTAATTGGCAATCACAAGATCGTTCCTTAAACACGAAGAACTACACTTATGGAAACCTTGATTTGATTGTATGGGAGATCAAATCACCGGGAGAAAATGGTTCTTCTTCTAACGCCTATGCATCTTCTTTTGGGAAGATTCTCTGATGGGTTGATTTGGAGATTAATCCTCTGAAAACTGTCCAACGGATAGATTGGAAATAGAGGAGTATAAAAGGAGTGCAAACGTCGTACAAGAAGAATAACCAGAATCGAGAATTTCAAAGTCTGAATAGAGTTTCGATTTTACACACTTGTGATTACTGTATTCCACGTTATTATTTTAGAAAGAAAATTACTTGAGTGAAGAATGTACGTGATAGTACAATCTATCATCTGAAAAGCGCTGCTCTTGCAATCTCTTGGTGATTCAATACTGAAACACAGCCAACGGGCTGTCAGCGTGGAAAGTGGACGTAGGCTTGATAAAGTCGAACTACTATAAATATCTGTGTGCAGTATTCTCTATCCCTAAACTTTCATTTATTATTGTTGACATTATACTGCATACATATCTGTCAAACGAGTTCGTTAAAACATCATCATAGTCATTAGACGCAATCATCTAATGACAACTTATATGCAGGTTTATCATATGCATCCATCTGATATTGATCATATGAGTTGTTGACCTCGACTATATTCATTCCGCATGTTTAAATCATTTAATTTGGTAAAATCACCTATTCACCCCCTCTAGGTGATAGTACTAGCCGTAACAATTGGTATCAGAGCCTAGTGCTCATTTTTTCTTTGAAGTGTTATTTTACTTCTGAGCTAACGATTCTTGATGGTTAGTAATGCTGAATCAAGTCATAACAACAGACCGCCTTATTTCAATGGAACTGAGTACAGTGTCTAGGAAAAAAGACATTCATCTTGGGAATAGATCAGGATATCTGGGACATCGTTGAACATGGAATCATTCCAAACGTCTCAACCGAAACAAAACCTCCAGAAACTTCAACAGGGCAAAATGAGACACCTTCTGACGACGGAATTAGAGAGCAAATCAAACCTCAAGCTCTACCTCTCTCGGCCAAGGAAGTTTCCAAAAGGATCTATCTGGATGCAAAGATCAGAACGGCCATATACAATAGTCTAGCACGTACTAAATATAAACGAATTGCAAATCTCAAAACCGCAAAAGAAATTTGGGATCGTCTTAAGCTTGTTCATGAAGGAATAGAGAGAGTCAAGGAGACAAATCTCAACATTTTCCTTGGGTAGTATGAGTCCTTCACTCAGAAATCAAATGAAACAATTTCCGAGATGCAGAGCAGATTCACTGAGATCGTAAATGGGCTTGAATTCCAAAACAATCCCATCTCAGAACCTATGAAGGTGAACAAGTTGCTGAGAGCTCTCTCAAAAGAGTGGAACAACATCAAAGTTTCTATTCGAGAAACTCAGGGGATCAGACCACTCACAGTGGACGAACTTATCGGAACTCTTCAATCCTATGAAACTTAAAAGTTCTTAGAAACTGAAGAACCCAAAAGTAAAAAATCCATAGCTTTAAAAATTAACATTGATTCTGATGACACAGATTCAAATGAAGATGAGGATGAAGATGAAGAGTTGGCTCTAATGGTCAAGAAACTGAGAAAGATGGCAAAGAAGGTGAAGATGAATAAGTCAAAGAAGCAATTCAAAAATTCTGAGCCATCAAAAGCCAAAAAGCTAAACCTTCAGAAGAAATCGAGTGTCGAAGATGAAGAAAACAAGGATGTGATATGTTTTCACTGCAAAAAGAACGGACACATAAAGCCCAAATGTCCTCTTCTAAAAAAGAACAAAGGAATGTATGAACGATATAAGAAGGCTTTTAAAGTTGAAACGTGGAGTGACTCAGATGATGATGAATGCGAACAAGAGTATGCCAATATCTGCTTGATGGCAAATTCAGACTTAGAATCAAGTTTTGATGAAGAAGACGAAGTAAGTAAT